TATTCTATTCTATTCTATTCTTTGACTGTTTGTTGACTAGATACTTGTGTAATGGTAGCAATAATAAACTCTTTCCTGTTTTGAACTCAATGAATGTACCTTGTTATTTGCGCTCAACAAATTTTCTATCATATCAGATTTTTTTTTTAAAAGATCAGTAAGTATGTTACCTTGATGTTAAACAGCCATGGTTTCATGGCATCCACCTCTGATTCTCCTTTGCTCAGGTCATACACCGCGAGGTATAGTGCTCGTTGAGTCATAAAGTGGGGATGAGCACTGTAGAATTCTTCTTGTCCTACAGAAGAGCAAGTACAGCAGTAATTGGCAGATGGCATGTATACCCACGTACGCTCTCTGTGACCTCCAATTCTCACCAAAGGGAGTATTTAAACAGAGTTTAAATCATTTCAGGCTGGCGTCAAAAACAAGAACGAAATGTTACAGATCATGAAGAAACAGTTGGCTTTCCAATTTGCTCTCTCACACAGACAACACAAAAGATATTATTGGGAGCACGGTTAAAACGGAAAGTTTCCTCGAACTTTAGAAGTTTAGAAAAACAAAACTGCATTCCTGTAGGGACAGGGGTGTCAAACTGGGCCGGATGTGTCCCACACAGGCCATGCCCACCCCGACTCCATGAAGGGAGAAAATGTTGTGACACGTCACGGCAAGGTGACACCGCGAGTTTGACACCCGTGTTTTCAGAGAAGGACAAGAAGCATCTGGGGGGGCGGGGAGGTGGAGTCAAGAGAGGACTCAGCCTGGAATCTTTGTGTCATCACAAGTGGTCTAAGGCCAACCTCTCTTGAATTCCACTGACTCTCAATTAGCACGAATTTAATGCTGACCCTTAGTTGACTAGATACTCTGTTAATTGACTAGATAAGCAATTAATCAGTTGAATTGCAACTTACTATGTGGATTCTGGTTCTTAGAGCCCGAGAGTTCCCCTATTCTCATGCCGGGGTCTTCAAACTTGACAGCTTGAAGACTTGTGGACTTCAACTCCCAGAATTCCTCCTCCAGTCATGTTAACTCAGGAATTCTGGGAGTTGAAGTCCGCAAGACTTAAAGCTGTCAAGTTTGAAGACCCTTGCATTATATGCTAGGATCTAAAGACAGGCTCCAGGTTTCCTTCCCCTTTAGTAATTCAGACTCCATATTAATTTCTACAATTGCAAAGTACAAGAACTATTGTTATCTACTAGTAGTACTGTGCTATTGCTAAGTGCTATTGCTATCAACTTACCACTGTAATTGAGTCTGGTCATTCAGCTGTTAGGTGACTGAGCCAATTTTATGACCTTTTTTGCAGCTGTCATGATTTGCTTAATTCCAGGGTGATTTTTGCCAGCTACCTAAACTAGCAATAGCAATAGCACTTACTATATACTGCTCCACAGTGACAGCCCTCTCTAAGCTGTTTACAGAGTCAGCCTTTTGCCCCCAACAATCTGGGTCCTCATTTTACTGACCTCGGAAGGATGGAAGGCTGAGTCAACCTTGACCTGGTGAGATTCGAACTGCTGAGCTGCTGGCAGCCGGCAGTCAGCAGAAGTAGCCCGCAGTACTGCACGCTAGCCACTCCAGCGAAAAACATTCTAAATCATATTCAAATTACTTTATTGTGATCATTAACCAGCAGAAGAGCAAAAGAGAAGAAAATAGTTTCCAAATATCCGGAATATTCAATAATAAATAAAGAGGAGTGATATGTTTTTTTAAAAAATGTATTTAAAGGTATCCTTATTAGTTAAAACTAACTAAAATATAGGATTACAGAGCCCTTGAAAAATCTATTGAGGAAGATACAATACAGTAGCCGACATATGAAAAAAATGATTAGTGGATAATCAGGGGTGGGATCCGACAGGGTTAACTACCGGTTCAGTGATTTACGAGGTTCGGTGATTTACAATGTGCTTCCCTGCATGCTGCGATCACACGCCTGTAAATCGTCATCAGCACGCTGCGTGCAGAAAACAGCCTTTGAAAAAGCACCTTTTTCCTGCTTTTTAAACTGCAGCTGTGCCTCGCACGGCAGCTGAAGTTGAAAAATCAGGAAATAAAGGTCAGGTAAGAGCCCGGGCAGGCGGGTTGGCCAAAACATCAGCAGACATAGAACCAGTTCTGTGTCTGCTGCTCTTCAGAGCTAACGGTTCTACAGTGGTGAACAGAACCGGTAGAAACCCATCCCTGTGGATAATCCTAGATCAGAGCCATTTCCAGTCATGTGACTGTCATAAGTTGATGACTACCTGGATTAGGGGAGGTGCTGTGTCTCTCTGTAGGTGCTGTTTCTAGCTGTGGTGGCACAGTGATCAGAAAGCGGTATTGCACACAAACTCTGCCCACAGTCTGGAGTTGGGGGCAATAGGCTGACTCTGTAAACTGCCTAGAGGGCTGTGAAGCAGTATATAAAGTCTTTTTGCTATTCCTTCCTTCCTTCCTCACCCTAATTCTCCTTCCTTTCCTTCCTTCCTTCCTTCCTTCCTTCCTTCCTTCCTTCCTTCCTTCCTTCCTTCCTTCCTTCCTTCCTTCCTTCCTTCCTTCCTTCCTTTCCTCCCTCCCTCCCTCCCTTATTCCCTTTCTCATTCTCCTTCCTGGTGGTGCAGTGGTTAGAATGCAGTACTGCAGGCTGACTGTGCCCAATGCCAGCAGTTCAATCCTGACTGGCTCTAGGTTGATTCAGCCTTCCGTCCTTTCGAAGTCAGATTATTATTATTATTATTATTATTGGGGGGGGCAACATGTCGACTCGGTAAACCGCTCAGAGAGAGGGCTCTGAAGCACTACGAAGCGGTATATAAGTCTAAGTGTCATCGCTCTTGCTGTTCTCCTAAATTCTGAACTGTGTATTTTGCCTTTGTTCCCCGCGGGCGTGAGAAAAATACCTGCAAAATCCCAGACATTTAAAACTGTCTCTTTCTTGATTTTGCCTTTTCGAGGGATCTTCCAGTCATTCACATCAATTCCGATGGTCGGCTTTTGAGGCCCAAAATCTGGCCTCTTGCATTTCATGAGCTGTTGTAACAAGGTTGTTTTACCGCTGCTGGCGTTTCCAACGACCATGAGCTTCATTCTATGGTAGGGGACAGCTTTCTTTAAACGCTGTTGAAGGAACCTGGCAAAAAAGAAAAGGAAAGGCTTGTTTGAATTACAGAATCGCTTTTTAAAAAATAATAATAATAATAATAATCTTTCTCTTCTCTTGGTAAAAATACTTCAGGAAGGAAACCAGACCTGTTCAACTGCCAAGACAATTGAGAACTAGATGGTGGGAAAAAGGGATATCATATCAGTGAGTTGACAAGGAGAAAAAAGGAAAGGAAACGTATAATGGAAAAAATACAGAAAGAACTATTTGAAGGGTTTATCATTTCCTTTTTTAAAAATATTTTTTTTATTTTTAATATAATCATTTCATCTTCAGTTGAACAGTGTGTTGTCTGCATTCAAACATCTTTGTTAAACAACGATCAAAATTACAACATCCTCCATTACATATTAATTCTGCAATATTTAACATAGTAATGTCCACCTATTAATTATACTAATTGTACAATATCAACGTAGTAGTATTCAATATGTTAGTCATCATATTAACTTATCACTTTTAATACATCCTCTTTGTTTTGTTTCCTTATTTCTAACTTCATTTTTATTATTTAATCATTGATAGAATAAATCCCATACCATATAATATTCAGTTTGCTCGTTCTCCTTAATTGCCAATGTTAATCTATTAATTAAAGACTTATCGTTTCCTGATTTATACTGTAAAGCCTTCTTCCAACACGTGAATATTTATTAGAATGGTTGCAGGATCTGAGTAATGTCTACTTTAATGAAAGGGGGGACACAATAGCAGTGTCCCAATATCTCTGGGTTTGCCACAAAAAAGAGGAGGTCAATTTATTCTCCAGGGCAACTGAAGGCAGGACAAGAAACAATGGATGGAAATTAATCAAGGAGAGAAGCAACCTAGAAATAAGGAGGGATTTCCTGACAATCAGAATAATTAACCAGTGGAACAACTTGCCTCCAGAAGTCGTGGGTGATCCATCAATGGAGGCTTTAAAGAAGAGATTGGACAACCATCTGTCTGAAATGGCATAGGGTTTCCTGCCTAAGTAGGGGGTTGGACTAGAAGACCTCCAAGGACCCTTCCAACTCTGTTATTCTGTTGTTATCGGGTGTTTTTTCCAGTGACAATAGCTGTCCAAAGCCATAGAAAGAATGGTCAAGAGAACTCACCGGATGATATCCCTTGCTTTGTCTCCCACGTGTTTAAAATCTAAATTAAGACGCAGTCCTTCTAAAGGAAGATCCCATATATTCAACAATTTTCCCATTTCATCTGGAAAACACCGGATGGCTGGATTGTAACTAACATCAAAAGACGTCAAGTTTTCCAGAAAGCCAATTTCAGGAGGGATCTAGAGAGAGGAGAAAAAGAAGACTGTATATTTTTTGAGAATAGAACTGCTAATCTATCAGTTGTCAACGTCAGTTCCATGCCAAATTAATCTAAGTTTTAATCAGATGTTTAATTTAGACAATTAACTTGGTAGCGAGTTAATTCTAGGCCAGTCATTGCTTCTTTTTTTTAAAAAAAAGAAAGTTTTTTTTATTTTTATTTTTAAAACCATTTTTCTGTTCAGCACTGTCGGTTGGGTACATATATCTTGTGCACATTGTAATAATATCATACATTTCTTACTTGTTTATATTTATAACCATTCTAATCAATACTTTATATCACATTTGTCAATTGTTGTATTATCATTAACATTGGAATTATTGTCTTTCAAAAATATATTTCATCCTTACCTAAATTATATTCATTCTTTTACTCAATCTAACTCAATCAATTACGATGTATTATGCTATTATTACATATTTCAACTTCCTACTCTTCTATCTAGCCATTCATGGAATAAATTCCAGATTTTATAATAATCTTTTTCTTCCTGTTCTCTAATTGCCATTGTCAATCTACTCATTTCTGCACATTCCATTATTTTCTTAATTGTTTCCTCTTCTGTCGGAATTTTCTCATCTTTTCAATTTTGTACAAATACAATTCTAGCTGCTGTTAATACATTGATAATCAAATACCTTATCTCTTTATTGTAACCTTCAGGTCCATTCATTGCTTCTTTTGAAGAGCGTTCAGGTTAACGTTACAGGTAGTCCTTGACTTACAACCATGACCGTTCAAAGTTACAAAGAAAAAGGGGACTTACAACCGTGTTCCCCACACTTATGACCATTGGAACATCCCCATGGTTACGTGATCAGAATTCAGGCACTTCTCCACTGACTCATAATTATGACCGTTGCAGTGTGGGAAGCCAGATTCACTTAACAACCGGGATCCTAACGTAATAGCCGCAGAGATTCACTTAGCGCGTGTGGCAAAAGAGGTTGTAAAATGGGGATAAACTCGCTGATCTGCTTAGCAGTGGAAATTTTGAGCTTGGTTGAGGTCGTAAGTCGAGGATTGCCTGTAACTGACTCCCTATTGTCACCTTCTCCAATTAAATAATGCTGGTGTTTTTGCTTTTTTTTTAATTCTTAAAATTGAAGCATTGCTTGAGCATTCAGTGGTATGTTTTCTCTGCTTCCCTGGAAGGAGTGTCTATTCTGGAGAACCATGCCTCCACACCACGACTAAAATTATTTAGATCCATTCTTTATCTGCAGCGAAACTGCAAAATATATCCATATATTCTTCTGAAGACTTATTTGCTTGAGGTTTAATAATACAGTTTGATAGACTTTCCTCTCTGGTTTCTTGTCATCCTCTTTTGCAAAGTAATAGCACTTATACACCGCTTCACAGTGCTTTTACAGCCCTCTCTAAGCAGTTTACAGAGTCAGCCTATAGCCCCCAACAATTTGGCTCCTCATTTTACTAACCTCGGGTGGACGGAAAGCTGAGTCAAGGTGAGGTGAGGATCGAACTCCTGGCTGTGGGCAGAGTTTAGCCTGCAATACTGAATTCTAACCAGTGTGCCACCAGGAAGAAGAATGAGAAAGGGAATAAGAGAGGGAGGGAGGGGAGAAGGGGGAGGGAGGGAAGGGGTAGAAATAGCACTTAGACTTATAGGAAGGAAGGGAGGGAGGGAGGGAGGGAGGGAGGGAGAACCACCAAATTGCAGGCAGCCAGCAGGCAGGCAGAAGTAGCCTGCGGTACTGCACTCTAACCACTGTGCCACCGTGGCTCATAAAGTAAGCTTTGCATTAAGACGATTAAGATCTGTTTTTCTCAGCAGTTATTTGGATGGAAGCCATCCTGCTTCTCTGTCTTCAAATAAATCAGTCCTGATTACTTTGAGTTTGTTTACAGCCCAGTCCAATACAATCAGGGCTGAAGGAACGTAATTTTTCAAGAAAAAAGCAATTGCTTCAAAGGTTCCCGAAAAGTATTTTGAAAAAGTATGCATCGGTGCATAGTAATAAAATCAATTACTATTTTATGATGTGTATTACCTCTCTTAACTTGTTGTTAGACAGGTGTAGCTTTTCAAGTCGAGACCAGGAAGAAGCTTTGTCATTCAAGTCCAGAATGCTTATTTGATTGTGGTTAAATATCAATTCTCTTAAATTGGACGATTTCCAAAACGCAGGCCCTGGTAGCATCCCAATTCTATTGCTGCTTAAATCCACCGATCGCAAACTGGCAAAGAGAGAAAGGAATACAATTGCTATTAAATGAAAAGTTAGACCTTGTAACTCGCAGCAATCATTTCCAAACACGAGGGCCATACAGAAAAAATATTATATTTATTAATTTTCAAAGGATGCTAACCGTACATCAGATGGCTTTTTTTTTTTAACCAGGTCACTGTCAGGATTCCAAGTAACACACCCAAACAGAATCAAAACTCCAAAGCAGGCATATTCCTTAAAGTATAGATTTACTAGCTGGAAACCTGTGCTTCGCTATGAAACTATGTGGTTGGGCTTAGTTTTTTGGGAGGAAAATAAGGGGGAGGGGAAATTCTGCCTCTGCCTACCAGCATCCATCGGTATTCATCTGGCTAGCGTCCTGTCAGTGTGTGAGAGAGTTGAGGACTGTTTGGAAAGTGAAACAATATTTGCTGTGTGAGCAAGGAGACAGGAAGGAGCCTGGGCGTGGCTTAGCTCAACTGTTCTGTACTAAAGCTGCTTGGTGCTGTGAAACTGAAACTAAAACTCCTCTCCTCTGCTTGTGTTTTGCATTTAGGACAGATTTCTTTCCAGGTGGGGAGGAGGAGTAGAACTCCTTAGCACAGGGGTGGGCAAACTTTTTGGCTCGGGGGCCGCATTGACTTTTAAAATTTGACGGACGGGCCGGGTCAGCACAAGATTTTTTGGGAATCGCCCCCCCTTCCCCCCCTTCCCCTCCCCTCGGAGGCCCCCTGAGTCAGGAGTTGCTACCGCCGGCGTGGCTCCGCGCGGCTCCAGTCCCGCATTGCCTCGGGAAGGGAAAGGGAAAAAGGAAGAGCCGTGGCGGTGCTTTGCAACGGGAGCAGCGGCACCGGAGGCTCAGGCTCAGCGGATCCTGGTTTTGCCTTTTCCTTCCCAAGGCAACGCGGGACTGGAGCCGCACGGAGCTGCGCCGGCGGTAGCAACTCCTGACAGCCCCAGCTGGACACCTGAGCGGAGCCCGGGTGAAACTGCCTGTTGCTGCTGCCGGAGCACTGCCGGGTTGCCTCCTCCAAGCAGCCTGCCCGCCCACTGGGCTTCCCCTCTGCCGCGTGGCTCGGGGCCAGGCGCGAGCGGCCGCAAGTTAAAAGAAAGCCGAAAGTTGCTGGGAAGTTGCTCGGGTGCTGGGAGCAGGCTTTTAAAGTGCTGCCCGAGCAAAGTTTAAGCAGCCCGCCCGCCCGCTGGGCAGAATCCTTCCTGCTCCTCGGCGGGAAGACGCTCCAGCCTGCAAACTTTGCCTTTGCAAAGTTTAAACCTGGAAGCCCCGGAAACCCAAGCAACTTCCCAGCAACTTTCGGCTTCCTTTTAACTTGCAGGCGCTCGTGCCTGGCGGAGGGGAAGCCCGGAGCCTCTTCCAAGCAGTCCGCCCACCCGCCCGCCGGGCTTCCCCTCCGCTGCGCGGCTCGGGGCCAGGTGCGAGCACCCGCGAGTTAAAACGAAGCGGAAAGTTGCTGGGAAGTTGCTCGGGTGCTGGGAGCAGGCTTTTAAAGTGCCGCCAGAGCAGGACCACTGAGCCGGGAAACGGGGCACCAAGGCAGGGCAAGGCTCCACCAGCAGCAGCCTAGCTTTAGGTGGCTCCAAGCAGCCCGCCCCGCCCTCCGGGTGGAACCCTTCCCGCTCCTCGGCAGGAAGACGCTCCAGCCTGCAAGCTTTGCCTTTGCAAAGTTTAAGCCTGGAAGCCCCGGAAAAAAAGGGGGATCGGCAGGGACTCACCTTCGGAGAGGTCGCACTCGAAGGTGATTTCGAACTCCCAGCCGAGGCCTTTGCAAATTTCTTTTCTTTCCTACCCCTAGATCGCTCCGCACTGTTTTGCAGCTTTGGGGGCCACGCGGCACAGGGCAATACGCCACGCCCAGCAATTTTTTTTCAGGGGCGGGCCGGATTGGACAGACCAATGGCAGCGATTTTTTTTCGGGGGCGGGCCGCATTGGACAGACCAACGGGCCGGATGTGGCCCGCGGGCCGTAGTTTGCCCACCCCTGGTCTAGCAAATGTTTTGTATGCTCTAGTTAGTAGTGTAATATTAC